GTATTTTGACGCTCCGCCTGTGTTCGAAACAAAATTATGTATCGTAAACGTTCAAATTATTTATATGTTTTCGTACTGGCAAGTTTTGCGGTCACAGCTACTTGTTGTTTGGAATCGAATTCATTGATAAATGAAAGTACGAGAAGTTATAAACAGAGCTGCCCTGTCGAAGTGGCTTTCCAACAAGATAGAATTCATCGTTCTTGTGGGATGGAAAGAAAGCGTTTTATGAAACGAAGAGTTGTCTATACAGCAAATGGAGTCTCTACTTTTAATCCGGCGACATTCATGCTAACTCAAAGTGGGATAAATTTGATTAATCCTGGTCCGTATCAGCGGGAATCAGCTGCGAAGTTTTCAAATCGACAGCAGTTCCGTAATGTTTCATATTCTGTTCGGTCGGACGGCGAGGTTGGGCGGCTGCAAGGATCAAGTGGTCGTTTGAAGGATAAGTTTTTCATAACACATATCAATGTTAGAAGTATTTTGCCTCATATTGATGAACTAAGGCTAATTTTTAAAGATAATTCTCCTGCAATGATTGCTATTACTGAGACATGGTTGGATGATTCCGTCGCTGACTCAGAAGTTGAAATATACGGCTATTCTCTTCATCGTTTGGACCGATGTAATAAGCGAGGTGGAGGGGTTGCACTGTACTTATCAGACAATCTCAAGTATATTCGAAAGAGTGAATTTGAAGAAGGTCCGGAGGCGCTGTGGATGCAAGTTGAATTGAATAATATCAGATATTTAATTGGTTGCGTTTACAGGGCTCCTGATGAATCCCTTGAGGTCTTTGATTATATGGACGATGTTTTAAGGTATGCAACACGAAATAATTTGGAAGTAATTATCTTAGGTGATTTGAATTGTGATTGTCTGAATGTCTCGCTTAAACAAAGCGTGAAATTAAACGAATTTATTTTGGAAAATGATCTTGAGCAGTTAATCAAAGAACCCACCCGCGTAACGAGTAACACGAAATCCCTGATTGACGTCCTGATTACCACCACACCAAGTTTGTTTAATAAAACAGGGGTTCTAAGTGTAACTTTAAGCGACCACTATCCTATTTATGGTATAATGGCTTTCCCAGGGACCAATTTAAAAAAACATAAGATAATTACGACCCGGTCCTGGAATGAAAATAATATTAACAACTTTGTAAATGAGCTGGAGCAAGTATCATGGAGTGTTATTGATGCTTTTGACGACGTTGATGATATGTGTTTTGCATGGGAGAGGGAATTTAAATCTATATTTGATAACTGTTTTCCACAAAAACGAAAACGGATACGTAAACAAACTCATCCGTGGCTTGACAGTATGTTACTTCGGTTAATGAGAAAACGTGATCAAATGCATAAACGGGCAAGAAAATCTGGTTCATCTGTGGATTGGGATGAGTATAAGCGCCTCCGTAATCTAGTAACTAGCGCTCTTAGAAAGAAAAGGCGGAACTACTTTTCTAATAAGCTCAATGAAACTCGTGGAAACCCTAAAGCTTTCTGGGATACACTACATTTGGTATACCCAGGAAAAAGTAAACAAAATGTAATTGAGAAGCTGATTGTTGATGGACAAGAATTGTGTGATAAGCAAGATATTGCAAATTCTCTGAACGAGTTCTTTACAACTATTGCGAACTCACTATTATCAAATCAACCTCCGCCGAATTTACAATCTTCGGATAGTACAATTGACTGTTCCGACATTTTCAATTTTAAATCTCTGAATGAATCGGATGTGCTCAATGCACTAACAATGATAAATACAGGTAAAGCAACTGGTGCAGACGAAATTCCAGCTAAAGCTTTAAAAATTGCCGCACCATACATAAGCCAAGTGTTAACTAAGATCTTTAACACATCCTACCAAAACGGACATTACCCTTCCCTATGGAAAGTAGCTCGGGTTATCCCCCTTTTTAAGGGTGGGTGTAGAACTGAACGGGATAATCAACGACCAATATCGGTATTACCATGTGTCTCGAAGATACATGAATCTTTTGTTAATTCAGATCTTCAGGAATTTGCGTGGGATAATGCTTAATTAAACCAAACCAATATGCCTATGCAAAAAACTCTTCCACAACAGTTGCGCTTATCATGGTAGTTGACTCATGGAAATTAGCCATTGACAAAGGAGAGAAGGTAGTCTGTGCATTTCTGGACCTTAGGAAAGCGTTTGACACTATAAACCATAAGGTTCTCCTAAATAAGCTTATGAAATATGGTGTGAAAGACAGAGAGTATGATTGGTTCGCCAACTATCTCTCAGGTAGATCTCAGTTTGTTTCTTATCAGGATGTGCAATCCGATAAGAGAAGTATAAGCTATGGAGTCCCACAAGGATCAGTTCTGGGACCGACGTTATTCAATGTGTATATAAATGGAATATCGGATGTTTGTGAAAATAGTAATACTTTTTTGTATGCTGACGATACGGAGATTCATTCTAGTTCGAAAGATATTGGCATTGCAGAACGCTGTGTAAATGAGGATCTAACCCAAGTTGATGACTGGTTAAGTCGCAATGGATTAATTAGCAATCATAAAAAGTCAGAAGTAATGTTAATAGGATCCAGATATGCAATATCGAACGCACGGAACTTACAAATCACTCTTTCAGGAAAAATTTTAAAACAATCTAGATTTTTCAAGCATCTCGGTGTGTATATGGACCATTTATTGACGTGGAATAAACAAGTGAACTACATAACCGGTAGAGTCTGCCATAAACTAACAATGCTAAACCGAGTTTCGAAATTCCTAAGTCGTAGCGTCCTACTGAGGATATATAAGCAAACAATTCTGCCCATTTTTGATTATGGATGTATCGTATGGGGAGACTGTGGTAAAGGTAATGCAAAACGACTGGAGCGTCTTCAAAATAAAGCTATGAGAATAATCCTTAATGCAAATCGCAAAACTTGCTCACAGGAAATGCGTAGCAAGCTGAATTTACTTTCACTCGAGAGCAGAAGACGTTTTTTACGACTTCAACTTGTTTACAAGATCGTGTATAACATTAACTGTCCTCGCCAATTACAAGGTTATTTGGTTAGAAGATCTGAAATGCATAGTAGATCCTTGAGAGACAATATACTATTGCATGTTATCAAAACAAAAACGAAAATGGGACAATCGTCGTTTAAGTGTGCTGCTTCTAAAGATTGGAATGAGCTACCTCAAGAACTGCGTAGAGTACAATCTTTATCAAACTTTAAAACTAACGTATTTAAGTATTTATTAAATATGGACAAAAAAGAACATATATGTAGTGTAAAATAGTAATGTAGTGTAAAATAGTAATTTGTGTTTTTTTTTTACCATAGAAATCCTTTACGATGCTGGTCACCGGTTAATACCAGCTATTTCTTGTAAATATGCTGATCGGTCTTTTTCTCCAGTATAAATAAAGTCATTATTATTATTATTATTATATCACAGGTAAGAATAATTGTATATTTCACTTGTTATTTAAACATATTCATTGCGAAATAGTGTAGTGATTATGACTGTTTACTTGAGCGAAGTGTGGAAATATTCCATTGAATGTTTGAATTTGCCGCGTTCGTTTTGCATATAAAACATGCAAATGTTGCTTTCAGGCAAGGGACGAAAGATTAAAATACAAATTCAAATCTATTGTTGTGAATTCCATACTAATTTACGCACTAATATTAACAATTTGACAATATTAAATTGCCTTGACATTGGCACTTTGCTAGACCTTTGTCAAGACTCAAGGCCATATAGTGATATGAAATAAGATATTATACATACGGATGTTTTTGAAGATCTGTTAGCATTTTAATACTTGAACAAGGATTGGAATTACGGGAGAATGACAGCATTTAATCTGATATTTTCAGTGTATAGATAGCTGAATAACTGAATTGCATCCTACTTTATTGTTTACTCTGTCTAATGCCAGTGGATTTTCCTACTTGCCTTGCCGGAAAACTTAGCTACTGTAGAGAATGTTTAGTTTTCCCGACTTACTATGCTTCACGCGAGAAACTCTGCAACCCTAGATAGAATGTATATGCCTTTCATTTAAAATAATAGCCCAAAAATACATACAAATCATTAGGTATGTTTATAGCTTTCCTCTATTTCTAGCAGCTTATTCTTGCATATTTTGTAATCATGTCTTTTAAACCTTTTGAATGACCCAAATTGTGTTTGTATTTTGTCATTGTGCAGCAATCATGGGGTAACTTGATTTCACATAAATAGACAGCTTTTTTGTCCTGCCTGAGTGAGTAACTCACCTTGCCGGGTAACTCGCCTACTGATGTACCGATATCCATATTGGTGCAGTGGCGTGCTGGGTACTATTTTTCTGGAGGGGCCAGTGGGCTGTCAACCAATATGCGCCCCCTATAATGTTACACTTGATAAACGAGGGCCGAAGGCACGAGCCGAGTGCCGCAGGTGCGAGGTTTGTCTAGGGGGGTCCGGGGGCATGCCCCCCAGGAAAATTTTTGAATTTAGAGTCTCTGAATTAAATTTAACTGTTGTTAGTCCGATAAAATTTTTTGACCCTTTTTTTAATTGCCGGAATTTTTTGCTATTACTAAAGAAAGATGGTAACTAAAGACATAGCTCAGTGTATTATTCGTCCCGTCGATACAGTGAAACTCTTCCGATAAAACATATCAAGTATAATAAAAGATGGATATTCGAAACGAAGGGGCGCGTAGTATTAATAGCGAAACTCAATCAAACCCTTAACATCCTCAATCACGGCAGCGTACTCTCATAGAGACCAAATCTCAGAGATCACACAGGAGCAGGAAATCAAATTATTCCCGTCGTCTATCGGTACACTTCGTCACGAAAATCTCAATCTTCCAGCACATCACTGCTATCCTATGGCAAAAAAGAGATGTTTATAAAAATAAAGAGATTACAAACTGAACTAGAATATCATGATTTAGAAGTAAAGGGTGCAGCAGAACTCCAGAAGAAGAAATATGAGGTAAAGAAGCTTATGATATTCAAGGAATTAGCAACTGAGAATACTGAAATCAAAGCCGTAAATTAAGTGGGGGAAAAAGATTTTTAGTTACCTTCCGTAAATCAAAGATCTCCAGACCATTCCGATAAGGAACACACCCAATT